ACTACCCAAACCCTTATGCATCACAGCGTAATACCCTTCTCCGCCGAGCAATCGCCATAATCGTTGCTTCTACAATCATCACTGGTACAATTCTCTTTATCCTCTGGCTTTTAATTAGTCCCCGCATCCCCGAATTCCAAATCGACTCACTCACTATGTCAAACCTCAATCTTTCCAACTCCTTAATTACTGCCAACTGGGATCTCCATTTTACTGCTAAAAATCCCAACAAAAAGATGACTCTATACTACGACGAGATTGCGGCGGCGATTTTTTACGATTCGTTGTCGGTTGCTGATACTACGGTTCCACCTTTCTTTATGGATAAGGGAAATGAGACAGCCCAGAAAATTAGCTTTGTTGCATCGGGGGCTTATGTGGAGAAATGGGCTTTTGATGGTATGAATAAAGAGAAGGCCCAAAGTGGGAGTATTGGGTTTAATGTGAGGATGGTGGCTAGGGTTGGATTTAAAGCTGGAGCTTGGAGAGCGAGGAGGAGGTATTTGAGGGTTTATTGTGGGGTTTTGTCTGTTGGGGTTGGGGCAAATAAGTCTTCTGGGAATTTGCTTGGAGGCCCGAGGCAGTGTCGGGTTGGGCTGTGAGATGGTGGATTTTGATTTGCTCTGAGGTGAATCTTAATTGAATTTTGTTTGACCCCATTAGCTGACTCTTTAGTTTAATTGTATAAGCAATGTAGTGAGGATAATGCTGCTGATTGAATTGCGTTCTTTTGATCTGATATATAAAAAATAAAAAAAAACTGATCTGTTTATTTGTTCGTATTGGTGTATTGCAGATCTTTAGGTTGTTTTTGTCGTTGTTTTGAGGCTAATTTAGGATGTACAGCAAGTGTGTTATTTTGATCTGATGTCACATAAAAAACTGATCTTGATTGGTTATTTATTCACATTGGTGTATACAGATCTATAGGTTTTTGTAGACTTGTTCTTGTTGTTCTGAGGCTACATTTAAGATGTAGAGAATGTGTTTTATTATTAAATTATTCTTGTTTTTTTAAACTGTTTGTTCGCATCTTCTGATTTACAGAATAGCTAAGCAAGTAAAAAGGTCTGTAATTTTGATATGTTGTGTATTTGTGTACCTGTAGATGAGTAATCTCGTATTAATCAAGGTGTAGGGAAGCCCTTTCATGTCATTTAGGATTTCAAATTTTATTGGCCATTAATTCTTCAATGTTAGACTTTTGATGTGATCAAAATAACTTATTTGCGGTTCCTAGTGCTTCAATAACTTCCGGGCGGTATGTTATCTAGTTTCTTGAAGAATTGGTTTAAATCATTATACGGTAATGTTCTTTACATTTTTTTGACCTCATCAAGCAAAAGTTCTTTTTCTTTATCCTGTATCATCCAAGTTATATTACTTGTCTGATATTTTAGCTTTGAAGTGATATGAAACAGTTCAAGGAAATGTCTATATTGATTTTCTTGCCTTCTACTTTCATGTCTACTAGTTGATACAACCTTTGAGTACAGAAATTGTGACATTTGTATGATGCAGCGCCAATTCGGTTGTGCGGCATTGTTTTGACAGCTTAAAGGGTGACCAACTCTTAAGATGTTGTGGTTCTGGGCAAATAGCGAGTAGAAGGAGAACTCTTAGGTTGAATCCCAGCGAAGGCAAGAAATACCGCAACACTAGGTGATTTATACTCATCTGCCTAAGCCTTGGTGGGTAAAATTACCTTGTAAGTAGTGCTTGTGCTAATAAGAGATAGCAGGTAGTTGGTAGTTGGTACTGGGTGAAATAGAAGGAGAACTCTAGGGGAAAGGAGTTGTAAAGGACTATCGACGTGAGTTCTTTTGGATAGCCTCTTTGGTTCGTGTTATTTCATGCGATGGGCACTTTTCAGCTAAGTTAATAAAATTAAAGAGAATCTTAAAGACACTCTTGTTCCTCTTCCATGGTGACTTGGTCCAGAGAAACCGAAACCTTGATTGTTGCTAAATGGCTTTGACTTGTAGAAAATCTATGAGCTTAAAATATAACATTACAAAGGAGATGGCTCTCTTGCTATGTGTGTGTGTGTGAGAAAGAGGGAGGGAGGGAGGGAGATGTGTAAGTTTCAGTGTTCAGGAGATTATGCAATAGCCAGTGCACTATCTTCTTAAAAATTTGTTGAATTACAGGACATATTTCCTTAATTGCAGATTTATTTGCTGCATGTATGGTAAGTTGGAACGTTAGTGTCTTATTGTAAACCTGTGCCTATGGGCATAACAAGTGTGGATAAGTCATGATCTCTGGCACGTGCCTTGATGAGAATTTACATCTGTGACTACTATATATCCCCAGTGAATAACGTGGTCGCTAGTATTAGGACATAACTAGAGATGCATGAAAATTTGAAATGCTGTACCTTATTTGGACTCTACATCGAGTTGAAGCAATCTTCAAAAGAAAAAGTTTATGTACATGATTTTCCAGTTGGTAGTGCCTTTAAAAGAAGTGAAGTTAATTCATATAGGAGGTGTGAAGCCTCCTGAAACAAGAATATCTGTTAGGGGTCGTTTGGTGGGGAAACAAGTTATGCCATGATTAATTATCCCGGGATTAGTTATCTTACCCTCCCATGGGGATAAAAAAACACTACAATCCTGAGATTAGTTATATCATGATTTTATCCCAACCAAACGTGGGATAAACTCATCTCAAATTTAATCCCGGGATTAATTATCCCTTATCGCTCGTACCAAACGAGCCCTTAGTATTTGAGCGTTTTCTACCTTTTTCTGTCTTACTGTTCAAGTTTACCTATGTTTATATTTGCTAGTTTGCTAGAACCATGTCAAGTCTTGGCTTCAACATTATATTCTGATAAAAAATTTATGTCTTGGCTTTGCATGGCTTATGTTTCATTATACCAATGAACATGCTCCTCGGGTTATTAAGAAGGATAACGTGAAAGAAGAAATTTCTTGGTAAGAGATTACAACTACGGTTCAATTCCAATATAGTTGCTGAAAGAAATAGTTGATTTTGTGCAGCATATGCATGCCCCTTTACATTGAGGGTGAATTGAAACAAGAGTCTAGTACCTAATGTTGGTCGCATAGTCATTTCATATGTGCTCTTGCACTTTGGCCACTTGGGCAAAAACCAAGCTTGAAATGTAAATGGAATTCTAGATGGTAGTATTTCCTAGGGTAATTCCAAAAAAGATCCCTAGCTTCTATGGGAAATAGGCACATGCACAAGACAAGTATTCGTAATACCTTCAATATAGGGTATGAGTCCAAGAGGGTAAATCTTTAAATTATTGCACTGCCAAATTTTATCATATTGGTTTTTATACCATAAAACTATCAGTACAACTAATTTTAGATTCGACTAATTAAGTTCTCCTTTCTATTTATTTTCTTGTTTCTCATACGATAGTGCCATAATAATTCATATCTCAACTAATATCAAGCATAAAAAGTCTAAATATTTTGGAGAGGTTGAAACCAAAACTTTAAGTTTTAGCCGTTCGGGGTAAAATAGCCAATTTGTGTCGGTGACTTCAGAATCTTGCTATCCCATTTTGTCATTACTTATGAAAAGTAGGGCCCTTGGTATAATTCTTGAATCTTTAATTAGCCTTTGCGTAGAAGCATACGTCCCAAAAAGATAAGGTTGCTTGCACCACACCATACCATGACCATCACCAAACTTCATTTTCCACCATTCACTTTCCTCTTAAAATTGCAACTTGCAAGTAGTTAGTGCATAGTATTTGCATGAATTGGTCGTTGAGACACTTCCCTAAATTATTCTTGGATACGAGGTCTTAAACTTATTTACTTTATATAACCATTACTAACATGTTTAAAAAGAACAAAAATAAAATTTAAAAATAAAAATAAAATTACTCGTTGATAAAATAGTTGGAATCTCTTCTTTTTTAGTTAAATGTCTTAGGTTCGAGTTCTAGATATTTAAAATTTTCTAATCATAGTGTCATGATCATATTTGAAAAGGAAAGATTTCCATATTCATATCCTACTTATAGTCTCCTAACCTCTACAACGACCACCAACAGAAATAGAAATGAAAAGAGGACATGTCAACATTTTCTATAGAAAAGACCTCTCTTTTTAAAGAAGAAAGTTTCTCACCACATTATAGAATCTTGAAACAAGCCGTATTAACCAACTTAGCTCGCCTTAGAAAAACTCTCCCAAAGGACTAAAACTTCAGCCTAAACACCAACCCCTCACCACCACCTCCGCTGCCACTGCCGCCAACATGTCAGCCAAGGACTGCGGCCACCATGACGAGGAGCGGCACAAGCTGCACCGCCACCTATTTGCCGCCGTACTTGGCTTCATTATCTTAGTCCTCTTCATTATCTTTCTCATTTGGCTAATCCTTAGGCCAACAAAGCCAAGTTTCATCCTCCATGATGCCACAATCTATGCTTTCAACGTCTCCTCCCCTAATATTTTCCTCACCACCAACATCCAAATTACCCTCGCCTCTCGCAACCCAAATAACAAAATTGGAATTTACTATGACAAACTCGATGTCTATGCAACTTACCGTGGCCAACAAATTACCCTCCCTACACTGCTACCCTCAACTTATCAGGGACATAAAGATGTCACAATATGGTCTCCTTTTGTGTATGGAAACTCTGTCCCTGTCGCACCATTCCTTAGTGAAAGTCTAAACCAAGATCAGATGGCTGGAACTGTGTTGATTAACATCAAAGTGGATGGGAGAATTAGATGGAAAGTTGGGACATTTATTTCTGGGAAGTATCATTTGTATGTAAATTGTCCAGCTTATGTTGGAGTCGGGGGTAAGGTGATTGGAAATAGTATTGCAGTTGGATCAGCTATGAAGTATCAGTTAGTACAGAATTGTCATGTCGATGTTTGAGGAACTAAGCCATGGCAATTGGCATCTATTGTTGGTACTCTCTAACTCTCACTCCCCACTCCTTTTTTTTATGATGTAATAGTTTAATCTGTGAGGATGTATAATTCGAGAAAATGCAGAATTTTAGTGGAATTTATTCGATTATGGTTGTAAATTGGTATTTTCTAGTCAACATCTGTCTGAATGTATACAAGTATATTTATACTTGGCTGCTAATATATTGAAGGGTGCTGTCCATTGTGTAACATCAATCCCATGCGGCTTTTCATTGTTTGAGGTGCTTTCTTCCCTCTTTAATCATAAGTTTTTTTTTATAGTTTTTTGTAAACCTTTTTGATTAGAAACTCGTAGACGAGTCTTTTTTATATAAGCATCTATTACGATCATATGTGACATGAGAAGGAAAAACTACTGGGCCTAGTTGCGTAGATAGCCAGATAGGGACTAGCGAGAGGAGGAACTTATTTATATCTAATGTTTACACCAAATTATATTATTGCAATTAGTGATAAAATTGAGATATAAATGTTTCAATCAACAATGAATAAATGATACTATAATATTTTTTGTAAAGTGTTTACTGCTTAGTTGTGAATACCATGTATAATAACTTTTGTTTTGGGGCAAGAATTTTTATTTCACCACCTTTAATAATTTTTACTCATGTAACTAACGTGACAAGAATTTGCAATCATTGAACATCGTACCATCTACATGA